CGTGCTACTCTCCCTTCCAGAGATCGACTCCATCCCAGTGAACCTGGACGAGAACGCCAAGAGGGCGATCGTCTTCACCTCCTGGGCGCCGCAGACCCACCCGCGACTCAAAGGGGTCAGTTCCTTTTCCGCCCTCCTTCCCCTCGTTTGCCTTGTATCCCATCCGCTTCCTTTACTCTTGGTAACGGGCTCTCTTCTCGGAGTACTCAACATCTTGTTCCCATGGTTCCACTCCCCCCCCCTCTCCTCCTACAGGCGGACATCTTCGACACCATCAGGCACGGGGACGTGCTGGTGCATCACCCCTACCACAGCTTCGGCACCTCCACGCAGCACTTTGTCGAGGCTGCAGCACGCGACCCCAAGGTAGGCAGCCTGCAAAACTCAGTGCCAAGGCAACCCCAACCCCAAGGTACCCGAAGCCATAGGGCGTGCTGCCCCTTCACAGCTTCGGCACCTCCACGCAGCACTCTGTGGAGACTGCTGCTCGCGATCCCAAGGTAGGCAGCCATTGAGAGAGTCATCTCATCCCAAGGAAAGAAGCCTGTATGATGTGTATCGGGGGTTGGTTGGGGCCCGAGGTTCAAGGTGATGCACTCTACGGCACAACCAGCGGACACGCTGAGGTCTGTCATCCCAACTCACCAATGCCCCTCGCCTGCCCCATCCCTTGAATAGTTTTTGTAGAATTATCAAAAACCAAGGCCTGTCATCCAAACTCACCAAGACCCATTCCCTGCCTCTTGCGCTACATGCTTCTCCCCTTGTGGAGGTGCAAGCCATCAAGCCCCCCTTCTCCAGCTCGTCAGCGGGCAGCCGGTCATCTCAGCACTCATCAAGGCCCCTCGCCCCAACGAATCCCTGTTCCCCTTGTGCCTTTCATTCCCCCTTGGTGCAGGTGCAAGCCATCAAGGCCACCCTGTACCGCACGTCAGCGGACAGCCCGGTCATCTCGGCGCTCATCAAGGCAGCAGAGTACGGCAAGCAGGTGGCGGTGCTGGTGGAGCTCAAGGCTCGGTTTGATGAGGCCAGGAACGTGGGCTTTGCGCAAAAACTGGAGGTGAGAACCGTGTATTTTTGCTGGAGGAAGTAGAGGTTGGTCTCGTACGGTTCGCCCAGTCCAAGCCACCAAGGCAGCGGCGTATGGCAAGCAGGTGACCGTGCTGGTGGAGCTCATGGCGAGATTCCACGAGACCAGGAACGTCGGATTCGCGTAAAAGCTAGAGGTAGGCAACAGCGCCCTGAAACTCAGAGGTGTGTACTATGGGGATCACACAAGCCATCAAGGCAGCGGAGTATGGCAAGCAGGTATTTTTGAGCAGGTGGAGCTCATACGCGGTTTGATGAGCCCAGGAATGTGGGCTTCACGCGAAGACTGATGTGGTAGGTTGCATGAGGCATGCACAGAAAGTAGACGCATGGAGCGCTCGTTTCACACAAATGGTCAAGCAGGGGATAGTTCGTATTCATGGGCTATTCATTGGTTTCATAAGTAACCACCCGCTGCCCTGCTGCCCCTTCTGCCCGCCTCCACACTCCCGTTTGCCTTCCCTCGTGCAGAATGCTGGGTGCCATGTGGCGTATGGACTGGTGGGGCTGAAGACGCACTGCAAGTGCATCATGGTGGTGCGGAGGAGGAGGAGGGCTTTCGGACATACGTGCACATCGGCACCGGCAATTACAACCCGCGCACCGCCTCTGTCTACACCGACTTCGGTCTCTTCAGGTCAGCATTCCTTGCATGCATTGCCTAGTATCCACTTCATTCGTAAGCGCACATTGGCAGCCGAAATTACAACCCGCGCACCGCATCTGTGTACACGATTATTGGCCTCATCAGGCCAGTACTTCCTCGAACATAGCCGTCGATTTATCAATTATTATCTTTATTCGTGCGTGTGTAGAGCCACAGTCAACCAGAACCTCGCCCGGCGCCATGCGCGGCGAGGTCCTTTCCTGCGCTGCGCCTCAACACATCTCGTCTTCCCCCGTCTCTCCCAAACTCTCCCCCCATTCTCTCCCCCCATTCTCTCCCCCCATTCTCTCCCCCCATTCTCTCCCCCCATTCTCTCCCCCCATTCTCTCCTCCCTCCCTGAGCGTAGTTGCCGCCCAGAACTCGGTGAAGACGTGCGAGATCTCTTCAAGTACCTAACCGGCTACCACCGGCAGAACAAGTACAACAAGCTGCTGATCGCCCCGGGCACCATGCGCCGCGAGTTCCTGCGCCTCATCGACCGCGAGATCGCCAACGCGGCGGCAGGCCTGCCCGCGCACGTGGTGATCAAGTGCAACGGGCTGGACGACGAGGTCATGGTGGCCAAGATATATGAAGCAGTGGGGAGTGGTGTGAAGGTGGACTGCATCGTGCGCGGCATGTGCAGACTGAGGCCGGGGGTCCCGGGGGTGAGCGAGAACCTGCGCGTGGTCAGCATCATCGGACGGTTCCTGGAGCACCACCGCATCTTCAAGTTTGAAAACGGTAAGCAGCAGGGGTAGGGGTGGCTTGTTGTGGGGGAGGGAGTTCAGCATAGGGGTGAAGGGCTCCGTCATTGGGATGGGGGGGTGGAAGGGGAGGTGAGGAATGATTATGAGGGTGGTGAGCATCCCCGCAGCTTCAAGTTTGAAAATGGTGAGCAGCAGGGGTAGGGGTGGCTTGTCTCTGAGTAAAAGGGGTGTGTGGTAGGGATGGGACCATGCAATCAAATCCACAACCCCCACCCGTCCACGTCCTTACCCTCAAACTCCTGCAACTGCAATTCACTTCCCTCCGTCCTCTCCCTTCCCCCTTCCCCAATCTCAGCCGGAGACCCCCAGTTCTACATTGGCTCGGCGGACTGGATGAGTCGTAACCTAACCCGGCGAGTGGAGGTGGTGACCCCCGTGGAGGACCGCGCGATCAAGGGCGAGCTGCAGTCCATCCTGGACGCGTGCCTCTTTGACAAGCGCCAGGCGTGGCAGCTACAGCCGGACGGGCGCTACAGGCTGCTGGGCGTGTCACCGCAGTGGCTGACTGAGCTGGGAGGGGAGCTGCCGAAGCCCAGCAAGGAGAACAAGCTGTACCGGGCGGAGCATTTGGGATTGCACCAAGCCATCATGGACCTTACTCTGCGACGGGTATGTTCCATGGGGCAGGGGGCATGTGATGCTTGGGATGTTGGCGAAAGGGGTGCTGGCCATATGAGAAGGTTCAAATGGTACCCATTTCCCTGCTGGCAGTTGCTCTTCCTCGTAAACACGCATATCATGTCCATCCATGTCCTCATGGTTCCTTCTCTCTGCTTCCGTGGATGCCTGTTGCCCTCCCCCCTCCCCCCCACCCACCCGACCCCTTTGCTGTGCAGACGAAGACAGCACGCAAGGTGAGCCTGAAGAAGAAGGATGGAAGCCCACCCAAGGCAAGACGGTTCTTGGAGTCGCTCTATGACAGCAGCACACCATGACGAAATGCACCGTGACGATGACTACAGTGTAAATGCAGCAAGCTTACTTTGCTAACGATAGGAAGAGAGCGTCCCAAGGAGTTATGAAGAGCAACCACATCGATGTTGATTACGCCTTGTTGGTTGGAGTTGATGTGGTGGTGCTAAACGCTCTAGCACTATCACAAAGATCAATTGCAATTCTTTTATGTTCAGCAATGCTGCTCGAAACCTGCTCCGTTCCCTGCCTGTCTGTTGACTTATTGAGATGTACACATGCATGAACCGTCGTTAACTAGTGTTGATGAGGAGATAGACAAAGTGGGGATGGTAAATTGTAATACGTTATATATGCTGGAATTGTACTATGAAAGTACACTTAGATGGCTACTTTGGCACGTCGTCACCCTATGAGTGGACAAGCCACGTCAAGTTTCGAATGGTTCGAAAACTCCCAGTGGAACTTTCGGCCAGCAAGACTCTAGTCTTGCTTTTGATTGGGCTATTTTTTCAGACGAATCAGCGTTGCTAACGGCACGAGGTCCAGATTGGCACTCAGAGGAGCTGACTAGCGGGGGTGCCATGGAGGTTCCGCTCACCACCAATGACAGACCACCTTAATTTTGGCTGGCAGTAGCCAGCCATCCACTACGAGCCACGTCACTGAACATGACTCAACTCAACCACGCACACCCTGCATTTCCGCCTGGCTTCTGCACCCTTTCGCTGACGTCACAGCCCTCACTGCCTCGCTGCTTTGTGGGCCAGAGTTATGCACTGCACATTTGAACTCCAGCCCAGACCAACCCAGCTCAGAAACTCGATCGACTAGGCCCTGATCGGTTGGCCGGATTCTGGAATGAGGATGGTGTCGAGCAATTTCTCAGGGCTGGCTTGGAATAGGCTTGAAGCCAACCAATATTTTTAATCACACCAAACCTCCTGGAATAGAGGTGTGTACCGATCACCAGAATGAGGAAGACTGGAATCCAGAATGAGGTAAGGGCACGTAGCTGCTGACTCGGGCGAAATCGTGCCAACTGCCGGTCAATGTGAATTCCAGCTTTTTTGCAGGAATAGCTGGGAATAGTGAAGAGTGGGGCAATCCAGACGCAATAACTAATGCCCTTATTTCGGAAACGGGAAACGTCGAATACCCAATACCAGCCTGTTTCTGACCGGCAAGAAAAGAAATTCAGGGTCGCATTTCGATATCGAGCCAGATGCAGGGCCCCAGATGCACAATTTGAAGCCCTGTTTCCCCCCTCCCTTTTGTTTTTCGTGACCCAGATCGTGGCGGGCAAGTTTGGAGATTTTCCAGCTCAGACGCCTCAGTTACATCACGCAATTTCGCACATAAACCAGCCCAACTTCTCGCACTACCTAACCTGGCGAGTCAACGCACAGAATACGGAAAGCTCGCAGCGGATTCCGCATTCCGGATTCCGTACATTCCGGAATAACGGCCTACCGATCACGGCCCTAGGTTTCAAGTTTGGTTTCTCCGAGAGTGTTCTTTCTCAGGGGTAGGTTTCGCCTTGGTAGTTCACTGCCACATACTTAGGCTTCGCGTTGCAATTAGTCTACGCGCTAGAATAGGTTTCGCATAGCGATTCGTCATCAGCTTATTATCACAGATAGGTTTCGCCCTCGAAGTATCTAGGTTGCGACATTCAGGCGAGGCTGGTAGGAAGCTGGTGTTTCCTCGCAACCGACATCGAGGTCCATGGCTCCGCTTAGCGCTGAAATTCGCAGAGCTCTTCACGGCTCGCGCCTGCCAGCACTGCATATCGAGCCTCGCAGAATCGTCGCTAATGGCGCTACTAGGTCCGTAACTTCCTCTTCGGTGACGACAAGGGCTGAAGCCGAAGCATCAGGAGGGTTATCTTTCCAAAGACGACTAAGAGACATAACCCGTGATGTGCCAGGAAATTCTTTGTCAAGTCATGAGTCCGCGTCGGAACATTCGCAGGGGTTCAATGAGTCACGAAGTCGCAATGTAGTTGACGAATTGACGAGTCCGGCTGCTGAGACAGCAGCAGTCGCAGCCGCGGAAGCTGCGGAATTCTACCGGCAAATGGCCGCAGACAACAACTGGCGACGATTAGAGACCCTCTTAATCCTTCTAGTGGCCTTATCGTCTCTTTATTTCAGCCGAACCGCTGCTATTCTGGCCACGTCAGCAGCTGTTGTCGCCTCCCTGATAATCCAGCATCGCACGTCGATCCGTCGGCGAACGCAGTTGCACACCCGTCACTCGTACGCGAAGACAGCCAGGGTTACCAGCTTCGCTTGTGTTCGCGAGCCGCTGGCGAAATTTCCTGAATCGCTTGAGTTAGCTGCCGCTGAACCGACTGATTGGTCCGGACAGATTCGGAGGGTGTTTTCATCCCCGTTATTGGCCTCGAGTCAGATGGGACACGGATCTCCATTCGATTCGGAGGTTGGTGAATCAAACCGAACCGGAACTGCCAGTCTGCCACATGGCCCTGCGGAAAACGCGGCGGGTAGTGTGGCGGATAACGCTGCGGGTACAAGTCGTGCGGGGGGACGTGCGGGCGGTACTAGTAGCGTTCCTTTTGCTGCAGAGTCGAATCGCAGCCGCGCGATCCTCCGCACGGCGTCGCATCCGTGTCTCGCCATGGCGTCGTCCCTCTCCCCTCTTCCGTCCCTTTCCCGTCCTCCATCTCTCTCCCCTCGGCCGCCTCTCTTCCCCGAACCATCCGTCGCCGGTTTTATCGATCCCAGGAGGCGTGACAACAGCAGCTGTAGCCCTGTCACTGACTGGGGGGCACCAGCGGCGCCCGCAGAGAGACATGTCGGATTTACCTCGTTAGAAAGAACAGCGGAAAAAGCATATGACTCATTGGAGAGAAGCAGGTTCGTCAGTTGTAGGGTTACCACCTCCCCTTTGCCCATGCCTGAAGACTCTCACACCACGTGTAATGCTGACGCAGCGACGGCAGCAGGGTCCAGCTCGACAGGCGCTGCAGCAACCGACGACGACGATTACGCATGCGTAAGCCCATTCTTCTCCAGCCCTTTCCCGCTCGTCGGATCGCAGCAGCAGCAGCATGAGCAGCAGCAGCAGCAGCAGCATGAGGAGCAACGCGGAGAGAGCACTGGCGCGGGAACTAGCCTCCACTCCCTCCCACGCTGTCGATCCGAGGAGTCCGCCGCTCCCTCTGCGACCTTCCGTTCCGCCGCGGGACGCGGAGGAAGTTATGGGCTGTGCAGGGACGAGGCGAATGAGTTTCCCAACGGCTCGTTCACGGGGCTTTCTGACGGAGGGAGCGGAGCAACTAGTCAGCGCTCGGAGGGGGAGGGTTATATGAGGGAGGGCGTATTTGAGGGTAGCAGGCGAGAGGACGGTGGTGGAATTGAGCTTGTTCGGGCTGCGACTGACGGGGTAATGGAGGCGAGGAGAGCGAGAAAATTTACCATGGCTTTTATGGGTGCTGGGATGTTCCATGGCCGAGGGAAGGAGAGGAGAGCGGGCAGGATTGAAAAGAAGGGATCGGCCAGGGAGAAGAATTTTGAACAGGGTGGAAGTGGTGGAGGAAGAGGAGGAGAGGAGGGGGTAGGGAATGAGGGGGAGAGAGTGGACAAGGGAGGAGGAAGTGTGGTGAATCCGGCAAGAGGGAAGGGAGGACGAGGCATTGGGAGCTTGTTTATCAGCAGCAAGAGATCACGGGCGGTAGGAGCGGCAGCAGCGGCAGCAGCAGCAGCAGTGGCGCCAGCAGAAGAAGCTCATACAGGAGAAGCAGAGGCACGAGGAGAAGCAGCAGCAGCAGCAGCTGCGGCACGGGCCAGGAGCAGAAGGAGGTGGTCTGATGGCGTCAGAGGCTGCAATCTCGCTGCCTCTGCTGATGCTTCCGCTGATGCTGCCACTTCTGCGTCTGTCATTTCCGCCGCCGCCACCGCTGCTGGTGCTGTGGCTGCGGCTGCTGCTGCTGCTGCTGGGGGCTCGAGTGGCGCTGAGGATGTGGAGTCTGAGGGCCCAAAGCGATCAGGAGCAGGCCGATCTATCTCGCTGCATGCCACACCTGTCTCCAGTCCCGCAAGCCTTACCACAGGGGAGGTGGCAGGCGGAAAGAAGGGGAAGAGATGGGGCAGGAGGGAGGAGAGGGATGGGAGGGAGGCAGGGAGGAGAGAGGAGGCGGAAGGCAAGGAGGCTGGGAGGAGAGAGCAGCGAAGCAATTGGGCCAGCGACTCTCTTTTTACACACCTGGCTTCAGTTGGCGAGGTTGAGCGAGGGAGTAGCGTGGAGGAGGAGGAAGATCCACGTGAGGTGGTGGCAACCTTCTCACCCGGCTCGTGGGAGCAGAGGCACATCCCGGGCGGACCAGAAGCAGCAGCAGCAGCATATGAGGATGGGACACTGGCACCGATATTTTCAGGGGAAGTTTTGGATTTAGCACCAGCAGCCACCGCAGCAGCAGCCCCAGTCAGATCAACGGGTGGAATCGCCTGGTCTGGTGAGCTGGGGCAAACCGCAGCCCAAGCAAGGCGCTTGAACACAGTCAGGAGTCTGCCCCTCCATCAGCCCCTCACACCTCCACCCTCCACGTTTCCTGGGTTTGGACAGCAGGCAGGCCCGGCCAATAAGCGACTGACAGGTGTACCATCCCCTGGGCGGCATGTGTACAATCCAGAGCAGCTGGACGGAACAGGAGGAGGTAGAAGTATAAAGAGGCAGACGGCCCCATCTCCACCGGTTACTCTCCTCCCCCCAGGCTCCTCCTGGCCTCCCGTTTCCGCCGCCTCAGCGTCTTCCGCCTCTCGTTCTCCGAACCAGACGCCATCGGGTGCTGCTGCACCTGCCTCCGCTGCCTCCGGGCCGTCTGGAGGCGCTGGGGGCGCTGCTCTCCTGCTGCTGCTTCTGCTGACGCTGTCGTTTCTGCTGCTGGGGAGGGTGGCTGCTGTGGTAGGGGTGTCTTGTGTGCTGCTGCTGGTGGCGCGGATTGGACAGGTAGGGGGAGGGTGGGGCGGAGAGATTGGCAGAGGAGGGATTGGGGAGGTAGGGGGAGGGGAGCGAGGAGGAACTAATGGAGTGGGGTTGAAAGGAGGGGTGGGGGAGGGGGGAGGAGAGAGCAGGGAGGCGAAGGAGGAGAGGGCGAGGGCGGAGGAGAGGAGGAGGAGGCAGGAGAGGGCGAGGGACGAGGCGAGACAGAGGAGAGTGGCTGAGATTCTGCAGCACAGCCGGTGTTCCGACCCACGAACCCTTTCGGTGATGGAAGGGTTTCTGTCTCGATCCACAACTGCAACCGATAGAAGGAGATGAGGGGGGAGAGAGCGAGGCAAGGAGGGATGCAGGGATCTGCAGCACGCCAAGGTCTCAAACTAGAATTTTTAATAATGATAGAGTTAGAGAGTACATGCACATATACCTAAATGTTGTACCCTCTAGGAGGTTACCCTATACAGTCTATACAAACATGATCAATAATACATGTTTGACACACCCCCTGGACTGCATAGGGGAATGTCCTAGACAAGCAGCTCAGGGCGGCACTACTAGTCCAGCCTCTGAGACAAGGGTCTAAAAGACCAGTCAGAAGGAGTACAGACAAGACAAGAACAAGTACAGGGCGGCACTACTAGTCCAACCACTGTGAGAGGACACAAGTCCAGTCTGAGTGTACACATATATATAGGACAGTACAAAGTCAAGGCCCGAGTAAGTGAGGGACTACAGGAACCAGACCAAGCTGTACACAGTGCCGCTGATGATCTTTAGGCGCAAGCGCCTTCGTAAAGATATCAGCTGTGTTGGCACCGGAGGCCAAGTGTACTACGCGAGCCTGGCGACGCTGCTGTAGCTCGCGCAGGAGGAAGTACCGCAGCTGGATGTGCTTCGCTCTACCCTCGACTCGAGGCTCCTGACACAGGAGGATCATGGCCCTGTTGTCAGCGTACAAGACCGGGGCAGAGCTAGGTCGCTCACCTAAGTCAGTGAGCAAGAAGGTCAGCCAGCGGAGCTCCTGTGCCGCCATGGCACCGGCGTAGATCTCAGCCTCACAGTTGGACTGGGCAACAGACGAGGAGCGGGTAGCTCTCCACGAGACAGCACCTGAGCCAAGGCTAAAACAGTAGCCCTGGGAAGACCTGAGCGTCTCGGCGTCGTCTGCCCAAGAAGCGTCTGTGTGTCCAGTAAGGACCACTGGCCTGCGTCCGCCTAGCACTAACCCCATGCCCGATGTACTTGCAAGATAACGCAAAACCCTCTTAGCAGCAGACCAGTGCTGAGGTCGGTGTCTGCCTGTGGCCACGAAACGAGCCAGAATGCTGAGAGGGTATGCGAGATCTGGGCGAGTGCAAGTCATCAGGTACATGAGGCAACCCACTAGCTCAGCGTAAGGACCACTGGGATCTGCCGACTCCTCAGAAACTGGAGCGGAGAGTCTGTGGTCCAGAGGAAGAGGGGTGGGCTGTGCGGAGGAGAACTGAAGGCCGAACCTCTGAAGGACCTGGCGCACCAAGTGTGACTGAGTCAGGGTGATGGTGCGCGCGGCTCTGTCCCTGGAGATCTGCAAGCCAAGGTAACGGCGCAGCTCTCCAAGGTCAGTGCAGGTGTGTCTCTTCAGCAGCTCTGCCTTCACGGAGGCCAGTGCGTCCCTGTCAGCTGTGGCAAAGACCAGGTCGTCTACGTAGACAAGGATGTAGAACGGAGTCGGGCCAGCACGAACGAAGAGCGAGGGGTCAGCAGAGGACGGAAAGAACTGCAGATCAGCAAGGGTAGCACGCAGGGGGGTCAGGGCAGGGGAGCATACCGTCTAGGTGGGCAGAAAGCGGGTGGCCGTCCTGCCGCTGACCAGTGAGGTGGCGGCGAAGGTCAGCCAACCACGCCTCGAACTCCAGAGGCTGACCCTCAGCATCAAAACGAAGCTCAGCAGCCATTAGGGGCAGTGTAGGACGGTGGAGTGCGGTGTAGTGCTGCGCAGTGCAGTGCAGGGCGGTGCAGTGCGGTGCAGTGCGATGCAGTGCGGTCCAGTGCGGTGCAGTGCGGTGCAGTGCGGTGCAGTGCGGGGCAGTGCGGTCCAGTGCGGTGCAGTGCGGTGCAGTGCGGTGCAGTGCGGTGCAGTGCGGTGCAGTGAGGTGCAGTGCGGTCCAGTGAGGTGCAATGCGGTGCAGGGCGGGGCAGGGAAGTGCAGGAGGGTGCAAAGCGGCGCGGGGAACGAGGGACAGTACCAGGAAGTATGTAGGGCCGGGGCAGGCTCGACGGGGCCGGGCAGGCGCGACGGGGCCGGGCAGGCGCGACGAGGGGCCGGGCGGCTGCGACGGGGCCGGGCGGCTGCGACGGGGCCGGGCGACTGCGACGGGGCCGGGCGGCTGCGACGGGGCCGGGCGGCTGCGACGGGGCCGGGCGGCTGCGACGGGGCCGGGCGGCTGCGACGGGGCCGGGCGGCTGCGACGGGGCCAGGCGGCAGTGACGAGGCCGGGCGGCTGCGACGGGGCCGGGCAGGACACAGCAGGGCCGGGCGAGGGCGACGGGTCCGGGCGGGCGTGACGGAGCCGGTCGGGTGCAACAGGGGCCGGGCGGGCGCCACGGGGCCGAGCGGCTGGGACGGGGCCGAGCTGGGGCGACGGGGTCGAGCAGGTGTGACGGGGCCCAGGAGGGGCGCGACGGGGCCCAGGGAGGGGCGCGACGGGGGCCCGGGAGGGGCGCTACCAAGCCCAGGAGGGGCGCTACGAAGCCCTGGAAGGGGCGCGACGGGGCCTGGAGGGGCGCTACGAAGCCCTGGAAGGGGCGCGACGGGGCCTGGAGGGGCGCTACGAAGCCCTGGAAGGGGCGCGACGGGGCCTGGAGGGGCGCTACGAAGCCCTGGAAGGGGCGCGACGGGGCCTGGAGGGGCGCTACGAAGCCCTGGAAGGGGTGCGACGGGGCCTGGAGGGGCGCTACGAAGCCCTGGAAGGGGCGCGACGGGGCCTGGAGGGGCGCTACGAAGCCCTGGAAGGGGCGCGACGGGGCCTGGAGGGGCGCTACGAAGCCCTGGAAGGGGCGCGACGGGGCCTGGAGGGGCGCTACGAAGCCCTGGAAGGGGCGCGACGGGGCCTGGGAGGAGCGCGACGGGGCCTGGAAGGAGCGCGACGGGGCCTGAGAGGAGCGCAACGGGGCTAGGGGGGGAGTCGCGACTGGGCTCAGGAGGGGCGAGGCTAGGCTAGGAGACGCGACGGGAGGAGCGGAAGCGGTAGGTGGGGGGGGGGGTCGAAACCTACGCGTGATACCATCTTAGAAACTTAGGACTCAAGGTTCTTAAACTTAGGAGGCTAGGTTGGCTAGAATACTAGGAAGAAGGCCACCATGGCATGGCGTGAGGAAAACGGATCTAGGAAGGGAGAGAATGTCGAGAAGAAAGAGAGATTGGATTAGGAAGAGAGGGGAGTACAAGGAGGGGTTTGTACCCCCTACAGAAAGGTTCAGTAACAACCTACCAAGCCTATATTAAATTATAACTTATATAATTTTAACACACCCCCTAGGCTTGGTAGTGTCAAGCCCACGCACACCCCCACACCCACACCCACACCCCCTAGCCCAGCACCCCCATTCCCAGCAGGAGCCGCAACGACTCCGGAAGAGGGTAGGTCTCACGACCCCTTGAGACGGCAATGGCGGCAGCAGCGACAGTGACGACGGCGGCGGCGGCGGCGGTGTGCGGCAGCTCCAGGCCTGCGGCAACAGCGGCGGCGCCGGCGGCTTGAACGACAGAGGCTGGTGCGGCGGCCCCCGCCCTCTCGGCGGCATGTCCTGTCTCCTCGGCGGTGGAGAGGTCCCTCACATGGCAGTCATCGGCTGCAGCAAGAAAGGGGGGGATGCAGGGGAAGCAGGTGCAGGTGGGGGGGGGAGGGGAGGGGGCGGGGCGAGGCGAGTCTTCAGCGACGCGCCATAAATGGCGCGGCGCTTACTGGCGGGAGGACGTCGTCCTGAGGGACGCCCGTCTGTGGCGAGCGGGCGGCAGGCCCGGCGACGCCACAGACGTCGCTCGGCCGGCCGCAGCCCGACGATGCCGTCAGCTGCCGCAGACGCCGCCACAGCGCACCGTCAATGTCGCAGCGGCGAGGCGGACGGGCGACGGCTGCACCAAGGGGCCGTCGCGACACCTTGGCGCCGCGACGGTAGGCAACGAGGGACCGTCGCGACATCTTGGTGCCGCGACGGCAAGCAACAAGGGGCCGTCGCGACATCCTGGCGCCGCGACGGCAGGCAACAAGGGGCCGTCGCGACAACTTAGTGCCGCGACGGCAGGCAGGCAGAAAACCGCGAAGGCTGGGAATGCAGTAGGAGTACGCAACGGGAACGTAGGGAGAGGGTCCGGTGGACACGACCGGCTCTGATACCATCTCAAACTAGACTTTTTAATAATGATAGAGTTAGAGAGTACATGCACATATACCTAAATGTTGTACCCTCTAGGAGGTTACCCTATACAGTCTATACAAACATGATCAATAATACATGTTTGACACAAGGCACCAAGACAAAAGCCGGTGCTCTGGCCCATGTGCACAGGCTGTCTGTGATGGAGGGGTCTCTCTCTCGGACTACCGTGATGTGTTGGCGGAGAGACAGACAAAAATAATGTGTTGATGGGATTTCTAAAAAATAATGCTGGTGGGTTTTCTCTCTCGGACTAACGCAATGTGCTAATGGAGATACGAAGAGAAATTTTAAGGCGCCTCATAAATAATGATGGAGGGGTGTCTCTCTCGGACTACCGTACCATGTTGTCAGAGAGATAAAGGCGGAGAAGCAGGAGGGGGGTGGGGGACGAGGCAAGGCAGAGGGGGTTGGGGTGGCAGAGACCCCGCAGCACAGCAGGTGGCAGGTGTTTCTCCGACTCATACGGTTGTTGAAGGGCTTCCCTTTGAGGCCATACTGGGCGTATTCCTACAAAGTTGGATATAACCGAGGCTGAAGGTGGTGAAGGTGTGGTGAGGTGGGCATGGCGTCCGCTTAGGGCGGGCGTGCTCCTACAGCCCCTTATCAGACCTGCCCCTTACCAGACCAGGCATGGCACAAGAGGTTTCCGTCCAAGAATATCGGTTCTCGGGCTATACACGTAGCTTGGATTACAGGATGTCGTGTGACAGCATGGCAGCACATTCTGCGCGATGTTTGAAGGTGCAATGCGATAACATCCAAAACTGTCGCCAAATGGCAAGACTGAAAAGGGGCTGGCTGGAGGAACACACCCTCACTGGTACAGGTGCTGGGAAACTGAGGCAAGCAGGCAGGCAGGCTCCATGAAAATGATTCTACCGTATTGAGTTTGCCAATGAATTCTATGGGGGAGGAGGACAGTTCCTTGTTCCAGCTGTGAGTGTGCTCATGCCTGCCAACCAAGCCAATGTCGGCTTCTTCGGATACTTAATAGATATGTTAAAGCGAGAGGGTAAAATAGCGAAGGCTGGCCTAACTTGAAAGAGCGCT